CGGTCCAGGGTTTGAATCCAACCTGTGGCCCTTTGCTGCGTGTCATCCCCTCTCTCTGCCCCCCTTTCCTGCCTGTCTCCATCTGTCCCATCAAATAAAGGCATAAAGCCGAAAAAAAAAATATACAAAAACAACAAATGAAAACTATGGTGTTGGAAGCTTTTTGGATGTTTTTTAGCCATTTTAGGACCAACAACTGCCTGGTGCAGGAACTGTGTGCAGCTCCTAAGAAGTCTTGTATGGTTACACATACTGTTGTGACTAAGAGAAACTCAGGTGACTCAGCTAGATAACAAGATACAACATGTAAATAAGATTGTGTTGGATGTGTCTGAAGGCAGTTCTTTCAGTTGTGGTGGAGCTACACAAGCAGATTGCAGCTATTATGTTTGTTCAGAATTTGTTATTAATTATTGTCTTTTTGTCAACACCTTTGTTTGCAATGCCTCGTTTTCCCCCAGACTCTGAATGTAGAGCCCAGGGGGAGGTTTTTTCTTCGCACAGCAGTGGGTAAAGATGGTTTTGTTAGACACTTCATGAGTAACTCTCCTTTTCTGATGTATTATGCTTGGCAAATCAAGTCAGACCCGATTCACTCCCTTCCCCCTGTCTGTCAGTCTGTCTCCTTCCTCTTACACCAGCTCCTCTCCCTATCTATCTATCTTTCACATTTACTTCTTTCTACCACTCCCTTCTTTCCCTCCTGCAGACTGCAGCTTTTGCTTTAATATGCAAAGCTCAAACCTTCATGCAAAAGGGGGATATACACTACGAGCACACTCAGAACTCCTGACAACAAGCACACAAAAAAGGAAAAATCACGAGTAACTAGTCATTTAGGCAATGCAATGTGCCCAAAATAGAATGGAATAAGTTTAAGCAGAATTGTAAGCTCACACAAAACAACATAACCTTTTTCCGTTAATTATAGCTTTTTCAATTTCCAACGTGCACTAAAGGCAGAGGAATCCTGTCCGTAGGTGAAACTTCTCCAACTCTGACTGCAACAGATTGAAAAGTGACAAACAGGCCAACAGATGAAGCAGACGGCGGAAGTGTAAAAGCGTTGCAATTGTCATGGCAACGGCATGCACACTGCAGGAGTGTCAAAACCAGTTACACCACAGAAAAGAAAATAGATCAAGTATTTACGCAATTTCAGTTTGTATGAGCCCAGGAACTGGAAGGCTGGTATTAGACATCAGATCAGATTGAGTACAGGCAGTGAGAGGATTTAGTTAAAGGTACATCACTGAAATGAACAATATAGTTCATGGTTCAATGGTTACAGCTACAGGGACACCAGGATGCAGGTTAAGTCTATGGTATTAATTAGCCTTCCAGATGTCCTCTCATGAAAAACAGACACATTCATGCACACATACTGCAACTATTGAACGTTTTATTTTAAATCAAGTATGGGTTAAGGCAAGGTTACAAAAATGATTGGCTATAGTTACATTGGATAGAATTATTGTAGTAGAGAGAAAATGTATTAACATTTATTTTTTTTCATTTAGATTAGACTATAAATAAATGGGAAAATAGAATGACAGTGTAGGAGGATGCAATAAATACAACATGACAATATGACAAAAAGATTTTTTTAGTATCATGGGTGAAGGATGGGTGGAATTTTAACAGTATTCTCTGCCAAAGGATGAGTGACTGCACGAGGACAGAAGCAGTTTTTGGGGGGGGGGGCGCTGGCCCAACAGGTTGAGAACCACTGCTGTCAACCAAGGGGTAACATATAGAAAACTCTATAGCACCAAGGATGGACCCATGGGGCACTCAACAAAACAAGGTGGATGGAAGGGGAATAGTTCCCAATTGATCTTCCCTAAGCCCCACCCCTTTTTGCTCTGTGCTCCAATAACATATGAGCAAGCCTCAGTCAGAACCTTCAGTCAACTCCCTCCTTTCCTGTACTTAGATATGCTATGTGCTAGGCTCGTCTATATCTTTCAACCATCTTCAAAATGTGGTTGTCTTTTCAACACAGACGAGGCTAGATGGGCCGGGTCTTAAGAAGGATCCATTGTGACAGAAAACTAACTGTTAGAAAATCGACCTGAAGACCTTCACACTCCAACCATCTTTAAGCATTTGGTCATTTAAGGAATGGAATGTTTGTAGTTAATACTACTACAGTAACCCAAGAGAAAGTGCCACTTAATACAACTTGCACACACAATGTAGGATAATGAACATGCATTCAACCCTCATTTGACCCACTTTAGCCAGACTACGGTCATGGGTTAATCCCTGGTCATCACAGTTCCCATAAGACTCCAGTCTACAAGTGTAATTCCCTACACATCACTGCTCAATGACAGACGTATACTATACCTAGTATAGATCTGTCACACAAGTCTCTCAGTTCATTAAAAATGGTCGCCAAACTTCCTTTATTTGGTGTCCTTATGAAAGGTTACACCAACATTGTTCTCTCCAATCACATCCTCTGAGACTGAAAAGAGCAGATCATATTAACTCAAATCTTACACTAATCCTATAATAACTGTATATGCATACACAAACTTTCCCATTTCAACCCCTCCTAGGCCCCATGCCTTCTCTATCATGCACCAACTTCCTCAGTGAATCAGCCATCTGGACCCCAAACACAGTGGGAGTTAATGGATCTGCTGGGTTACATAAGACAGGCAGTGCCTCAGCTTTCATTATTCACCACGCAGTCCACTCCACGCCATTAGATTATTTACACACACTCTTATAGTGTTACATTGTGTTGCAGGACAAACACAGAGCCAGGAGGAATGGGACTGAGGCCCATTAACTAATGGCTGCCTGCTGAGCCTGGAGGAGACAGCAGCTACAACACAACAGATAAGGGAAATACAGAAAGTAGACCCTTGCATGGAACACATGATGTCCTGGTTTTAAATCAGGTCCTGAGACTGAGATAATCTATTATCTTGTACGTCTATGAACTGTAAGTTTAAAACAAGAGTGTGTTGCTTGGCTTGGTTCCCTGTAGAAGCTTTACAGATGTCTTGAGAAAGATGGGATGTCAGCGTAGAGAAATAAAACTGAGTGACAGGAGATGGTGGAACTAATGACACACTCCCTTTAGTTCCTTTAAAATGTCTGCTTGAAAATAGATTTAAAGTATAATGTTAACAATATGCTATAGTTTTCTTTCCAAACACAGATAAATAATAAATGCATCTACCATCAAGTAATGTGTATGTATCCTTTTCCTCTGTGCCATAGAGCTCCATTATTATCCAAAATCTATTAAAAACTCATCAATAAGCCACACTGTTGGAGGACATGCTCCTTCATTACCATCAACACACACTGTCATTTATTTGGACTCAATCCCATACACTGTCCTGCTGCCACAAATAATCACTAGAGCACCAAATGTGGAATAATCCAGTGCAGAAAATAGTCCCCAACATGAGCTCCATTTCCTACCACGAGTAAAATTGGATAATTTGATTATATATACACTTTAATAAAAGCAGCAGTTGTATTACCCTGTTTTCATTATCAAGCCTTCATAATGATTTTAATTCGAGCTGCAATGTTTAGTTGATAGAAAGAACAGAAAATTAAAATTAAATAAATACAATGTAAAATGTTATATATGAATGAACCTCATATACATGTTTTGATGGTAGGGGAAACCAGAAACCCACACAAACACTGGGAGAACATGCAAACTTCACGCAGAAAGGTCCTGCCCCACAATGCTGGCCTTTTACAGAGCAAACATTAAGAAATGAGTCAGCATACGTTGATTATGAATAACTGCAGCCCTACTTTAAACATGGTTGGTGTTTACACCTGTCCAGGTGTACATGCCCAGTACTCAGTGTGAGCTGAGATGGGCTCCAGCTCCCACAACTGTGAACAGAATAAGCAGGTGAGAAAACTGATGGGAATAAAATTGAGTGGGTGTAAATTTAAATGTGTGAGCGTGATATGACGTAGACCGTAGGAAAACAGTGCTTTAACACTTAATGCAGTTCAATAAAGAACAACAAAAAAGCATACAGGCTGGGATTAAGGACTTCCCTATTTAGAGGTTAGCTTATGAATGCAATCTCACTCAAGAGTCTGATGTGATGCAACATATGCAACTCCCCATACAGACTGCTGTCTCCATCAGCTGATAGCTGGTTGAGCATGGACACCTTCACACCTTAAACTAGCTCAATGCTCCGAACATCCAGTTGCCTGACAACATGGCTTCCATCTCATTACTCAGTACCTAAGGAACAATGGCTATGGTAACAGTGGCCTGAGCAATGCTCCCTCCTCCACAGACATACACACATGCAGACTGCAGACCAGGCTATGTATGGCACAGTATATGCATGTTGGCAGACTGGCAGTGTTGTCATACAGCCTCCCTGTCTGTGTCTTTGCCTTGACTCTGGTTACCTCCCATGGGACTGAGGAAGGATTCCCCCTCCCCACCAGCTGCTGTGCTCCGACAAAGAAAACACACCAGCAGGTTTCAGACAGAGAGACATGAGAGAAATGAAACTAAAACTATAAATTAAAGCAAAAGAATAGAGCATACTGCAGCCTCATCTACCCTCAGTTGGACTGAAGAACTGACTTCTGGTCTCTGTTAATGGAACAATGCATGAAGATGTGCTCTGTGCTAGGGGAGCTTCATCCTATAATTATACAAGCCATGCCATTCATTAGCTGACACCAACAACGTGTCCAGTATTTATCAGTTAATGAAAGACTCCTTCCAGTTTCCCCATGAATATCTTTCTGGCTTTTTTTTTCTGTGACATTTCCAACAAAGGTCCTTTAAAAAGTAGCTTGACGGCTGGATGGAAACATGTTGGCTGACAGAAAGTGTGGGGCAATCAGAAAGGCACAGCAGTGAGGACACACAGAAGACGACAGACAAAGCAGAAGTGAAGACTGAGTGAACAAGCAGCCCACATCCGCAGAGCGCAGAGGAAATAAAACACGGGGGGTGAACGCACACACACACACACACACACACAGAGCACTAACATGCATGAACACAGTCTCATTTAATGACACAGAACAGATGTAAACAACTGACAGAGAAGGCTATAGCCATATGTTCAAACTGCACGCACACACACACACACGCACATGAAATCAGGGCTTGCTCAACCCGACCGATAACCCACAGTACAGTGTCGTTTTTGACTTTGTAGCAGCTTAGCAAGAGAGCTTTTCAGCAACAGACTAAAAGCCAGGCCATTTGTTTAAGGGGGTGGGGTAGTGCTTTCTAACTTTATATTATTGCACTGAATTTTAAAAACAAACCAACAACACTGAGTTATTAAAGACTTTTTAAGAGTGTTAAACCATAAAAACTGTTCAAATTCAAAAAGCAATGAAATGCTATGTGTAGAACAAGATGAAATAAGATGAAGTAACACTGCTGAGCAGGAAGTCTGACCTACTTGGTTTCAAAACATTACAAATTACTCAAACATTTAAGGGCGGGAAGATAGAAAACCAAACTAAGGCGGTATTCAGACCAAATCAGGCGCTGCAGGCTGGTGCAGCGGTTTGTTTATTTGGTGCATGTTTATTTGTGCTTTAGAACCTAACCGCTGTGAAACAATCAGTAAATAACACCTTATTTCTAGGGATGCACAATGAATCCAAAGTAAAATGTGACAAAAAATCATTATAATGAAGCACTGAAGAGTTGCAGGAGGCCCAGATTTAGAAACAACAAAAGATTTCACATTATTATGATCAGTGACTGATGGGTCCCGCTGTAAGTACTTAGTGAATCATACTGCCATCTCAATATCTGTCAACATAATCCCAATAGTTTGGAAAAGTTTGGAAAGAATTTTTGGCACCCCCTGCACAGGGCTGGGCCCCCACCACCACAGCCTACCCAACTATCCCCATTCCAAATGAATGTTTTCACCACAGCCCCTGATTTGGTCTCTAGCATGCCAACACGCTCACAATTAGTTCAGGTTACAACTTAATTTGGCATGTTAGCATAGGCCTGTCACGATAACAAATTTTGCTGGACGATAAATTGTCCCAGAAATTATTGCGATAAACGATAATATTGTCGTTCCGAGACCATTTTCAAAAAAATATAATGATAATGGCATAATAATGGCAGGTACAGCTTTTCAAAGATCATAAACTCTTTATTTCTAAACAATATGCTAATACTGCGAACTGGAAAGAACATTTTAAAATATCCACAACGACAATGAAACAAAAGCAAACCAAAAACAATCAAATAAAATGCGAACTCCAGTCTCCTGTTAACAAAAAATGCAACTGAATAAAAACCACCAACCACCAAACCCCAAAACAATGGAATAAAAATGAGGATGTAGAACACAATCTGCCACTCAGACCATAAAGGAGTGCATACATTCCTTAACCAGGCAAAAGCCCTGCCACGCGTAGGACCTTTGGAAACCACAAAGCTGCAAAAGAGATGCAAGACGCAGAGGCCTATTATCAATACTGACCAAGCTTC